CGGGAGACACGTCTGACTTCACCGGAGCACAAAGAGAAGAAATAAAAGCAGCAATAAGCAGCCTTTATATTCTTTTTCTTGTAAAATCTAGTAAAGTTCCCACAAACTTTACATAATACTTTATTATGTGTCAGATGTGACTAGGAAGTGGTGACATCACCTCTGCAGATCTGTACACTTCAGGAGGTTCGGTGGCAGCCGCCGCAGCTTCCAGGATCGGCTGTATGTCTGCAGTCGGATTCTCCACAGGAGGATCCGGTCTGAGGTGGTTTTACCTTCGTTTCAAGGAGAACTAAGTGCATCTGTTAAGGATGCCCCTGGACCCCTCCCTAGGGTGGTGCTCTGGGCATGGCCATCTGGGAGGAACTGCAGGACACGCTGGAGAGACGGTCTCTTGGCTGGGCTGGGAACGCCTTGGAAACCTCCCAGAAGAGCTGAGAGGCGGCTGTGGAAAGAGATGACTGGACCTCCTGCTCATAAAGCTGCCCCCCCTCACACGATGACACCAGACAAGATGATGGACGGACGGAAAGCTACATCCTGTCCATGGCTCCTTTACTTCTCTACCTTTAGCTCTCAGAGTAAAGGATCGTTAGAGTCTTTAAAGTTGTATTTTCATCATGTTTGCAGTAAAATGCAGCGCTGTGTGTGTTTTCTAGATTAGTCACCATGACAGCCAAGCGTGGACTGATAACTGATTCCTTCAATGTGGTGAAGAAAACGAGGAGAGGAGGAAAACGGACGAAGAGCCCCACACCTCCTCCATGTGAGAGAGGTGAGGAGGAGGAGGCGCACTGGAGTAGGAGTTTGATCTGGTTCCCATGAAAACCTTCAATAACCAAATTCTTCCTGTTCTTATTTTCACAATCAGACAGACGCTGTCACTTTTATATGTACCGTTTCACTAAAGCAAGAAAAGTCCTCAAAGATGACTGAAACAAAGTTTTAATAATTAAAAAATTAGCAAAAAGCAACTCACAGGAATCAGACTGTACTTTTTAAATTTGGTTCACTAGAATTAAAAAAAATAATTAAACTGACAAAAATAATTGGTACCTTTATTTTAATAGTTGCACAACCTTTTTGAGTAATCAAACTATTTCTGTAACTCTGAGACCTCTGCACCTGTTCACAGGTATTTTGCTCCACTCTTTGTAAAAAACTACAGTAACTGAGCGCGCCTGAATATAAGCCACGCCCACTAACTTACAAAATAAAAACAGTTTTTGTACATATATAGCTTGTCTATAAGCCACAGGTGTCCATGTTGTAACATGAGATATTTACACAGAAAGATTTTTTAAACTTTTAATTAAATACTTACCGGTAACGCACAAATACTACAGTAAATGTTTTTCCAGATGCTCCAGGTGCAGGTTCCTACCTCCGACGTCCGATCAAACAACATGAAGATCCTGATTTTATCAAACGCCTGCTCGAAGGCCCCGACGTCACCAACTCAACGTCTGATTGGTCAAAGCAACAGTTCATAACCATTTGTTTGAACCAGCAGGGGCCTGCACTGTTGGTTCCGAAGGCCTCGAGGCAGATTTATTCGACCCTAGCAACAGATGATGCTTGAACCTGATTGGACAAAAACTTTTATAGAAACATCTGCTGCTGGAAGCTGCACAACCAGGAGAACAGCTGTGAAATGAAGAGAACACACGTTTCAGAATAATATTAATGAATAGAAAAATAGATTAAAATGTAATTTAGTGAGTCTGGTTGAGTTTAGGCCCTGACTGTCCAACACTCATGACTGATTTTTGAGATCTTTATGGTTTTTACTCAGTCGGAGAGTTTTGTTTCTGGGTTTTGGAGATTTTAAAACCGAATGTTCAGCTGACAGTGATGGTGGCACAACAACCTTTGAGTTGTCTGAAATGTTCAGGTTTTTTCCTACAAATCTCTTCTTACTCCCACGACTTATTTAGGTGCAAATTATACATCAAAATATAGTTTTTGTGTTTATTCACTGTCGTAGCACCCCCAGAATGCAGCGTTTAGGCCACACCTAAACCTCCACAGATTTAAATTATACTTTAGTTAAAATATTCTCTTTAAAACTGGAAATGAAGGGGTTGCTTTAACTTGTCAAATCTTTTACACAAAACACTAGAAACACAAGATAATTTAGTTTTGTTTGTTACGTTAATTACTCAAATTGTCTGTTTTGTCTTGCATGAGCAGAGGATGAAGCTAAAACTGTGGAAGAGGAAGAGCTGCAGAAACTGAAACAGTTTGACCTGGACTGGAGGTTTGGGCCCTGCTCAGGTACATCACAAGAAGATTAAACTACTGATGCTTTTTTATTTATGCGTTCTTTACATAAAAAAATAGCTAGCTATTGTAGCTAGGTAGCTAGGTTTTAGCTGTAGTGGTGGAGCTGTGGTTGAAAAAACAAATGTAAGGTCCTGCTGAGTTTCACAGCTGTGAGCTTCAGGCAGCAGATGTTCCTTTGAGCCTTTTGGGTTTTGTTTCCCTCGTCGTCTGTAGGCATCAGCCGGCTGCAGAGGTGGGAGCGAGCAAAGCTTCATGGACTGAATCCACCTGAGGAGATCAGAGAGCTGCTGCAAACACACTCTGACCCTGAACACAGCCTCAGGTAACACCACAGGTGGACAGAGTACTGAAAATGTACTCAGCTAAAAGTACAGTTGAGTAAGAGTAAAAAGCAAAGTAAAATGTACTGTTAATTACAGCAGGAGGGCTCAAAGAAGAGGATGTTTTTCCTCGTAAGATCTTAAATTAAATAAAAGGCCTCAATGTTCATGAGATATTTCAACACAGAGTATTTCAGTGTACTCTGCACATGCTTACCTGTCAAATAACAAAATGTGTCACATCACTAAAGCAGCTGGTGGAAAACCTCTGCCCTTGTTACGACTCCGGAGTTTGGTAGAACCCATGTGCAGCAGGACTCGGAGAACTCGGGACTTGAAGTAGAATTTATATTTAATAAAGAAAAACAAAAGCTGGCGCGCAGCAAACTTACCTGATCTCAGGGATGGCGCGGAGGAAGACGGAACCATAAGACGTAAAGTCCGGACAAGGAAGACCGAGATGTTAACAGACGATGACAGACACCTGGGGAGGAGACAGACAGGTGGTGCAGGAGCTGAGGCAGGCCACACACACGAGTACACAAGTCCTCACCTCCTGGATTTTAGTTTCAGGTCATTCTCAGAAACACAGGACAACTATAAAATGATTGACAGGATAAAAACGTGTCATACTTCTGTTTAAACACAACAGAACATGTTCTTAACTGGTAAATTTAACTTACAAACATTCCTGTTTTTAGTATTTTACATGGCTTCATGATGTAGCTGTTTTTCTTTTGTTTTTTTAATATAATTTTTTTTATTTTATATGCATTTTTATGTTGGTCATCTGTGTTCTCTGTTGAAATCAGGGCTCTCTTGTAAATGAGTCCTGGAGGCTCAGTGGGATTAAGCTGTAGAGATAAAGGTTGAACAGAAAGCTGCAGGGCCGGACTTAAAATTAATGAATAAGGGAACGCTTTATTAAACAAAAATAAAATCTTACGTTAAGGCCCACTACCACGTGCTTGTTCGTTCTGGATTTATTTATTTTAGCTGCTCTTCTTAGATCGTGTAGTTCAGAAATAAAATATGCTGAGCAAAGAAAA